ATTCGAAGGGTACTTACAATCGTCCTCTTCTCGCAGCAATACATCTCGCGATGGTTGCAGAGTCGTGCGGGTGGCCCAGCCCCAAGAGGCTGAGGCAACCAAGCCTGAGGGATCTACCCAAGCCGAGGCAGGGGGTTCTTTTCCCCCCGAACCAGTTGAGGCCGAGCCGAGATTCGAGAATGCAGGTCTAGGGGCTGCTGAATGGGTCGATGAACGATCCTCGCAGACCCCTGTGCAAGAGGAATCAACCATTTGTGTCGACGCAGAATACGCCTCCGTCGTCGACATGAACGCTCCTCGTTCAAAAAGATCCAAACAGCGGCGACGAAAAGCTCTCGCTCGTCTCGAGGCACAATCCCTCATCCCCCACGACAGCCTGAATTATTATTCAGGCTTGAGGCGAATCAACCTCTTGAGCCAGGTTCCCATTTTTGGCGAACCGCTCAAATCAGGCGAGCTTAGCAGTTTAGGCGAGCCCATCTCTTTGAGCCAGGTTCCCGATTTTGGCAAACCGCTCAAATCGGGCAAGCCTAGCAGTTTAGGCGAGCCCAACCACTTGAGCCAGGTTTCTATTTTTGGCGAACCGCTCAAATCGGGCGAGCTTAGCAGTTTAGGCGAGCCCCACTCTGTGAGCAAGGTGCTCAATTTTGGCGAACCAAGGGCACCTGGCGAACTCTGCAGTTTAAGAGGGCTTCGTCAAACAAGCGAACTTCACCAAGCTCGCCTGACGGCCCAAGATCGCCAGAAAGGCGAAGCAACAGCTCGCCAGACAGGCGCAGGCACACTGTGCCAATCTCGCCTGACGGGCGAACCTCGCCAGCATGAACCTCGCCAACACGCTCACGCCCAAATGGGGGTGGCCACCTCGTTTGCCTGCACGGGTCTGACGTCCGTCTCTGACGACGACGACGATTGCTCAGCAGTGGCAATGTCGGAGACTTCAAGCTCAGTTCAGGGCAAGCACACAAATGTGCACATGACTGACATCCCTGAGGAGATGTCTAGGAGGCTCGACGAGCAACAAGCAACCATCGACTCCCTGAAGGAGATGTTGGAGCAGCTCCTGAGCGAGAAGAAGAGGAAGAGAGAGAGGACTTCGCGGGCTTCGCATAAATCCTTGAAGCACAAAGAGCGGGTGCCTACTCCTTCTCACTCCTCATCCGAGTCATCTAGAGGAGCGTCATCTTCGGGCCATAACCCAAGAGACAAGAGGTTTGACGATCTCCAAAGTCAACTCGATGCCTTGAAGCTCCAGAAGCATGTGAACAAGCTGGGAGTTGTCAGACCATATCCAATTGAATGGGATGCGGTCTCCTACCCGGCAAAGTTCGAGCCGCTGGACCTCCTGCAGTTCAATGGCAAGGGTTCTCCTACCCAGCACATCTACTACTTCCAGGCGCAAACTGGACACATAGTGGGAAACGATCCCATTATGACTCGACTGTTCATTGGTACCCTCAAGGGGGTCGCTTTTGAATGGTTTCGCAGATTGGAGCCTGGGTCCATCACCTGCTGGAAGGACATGGAAAGGCTCTTCGTGGCCAGATTCTTCGATGATGACACAGAAGTATCTATGGCCACCCTGCTAACTGTGAAGCAGAGGAAGACAGAGTCTGTAAGCAGCTTTGTCAAGAGATTCAGAAACCGATCGTTGCATTCCCGCGATCGAGTTTCCGAGGCCACGCTCATCGAGATGTGCCGGAACAATCTCTCCATCAGCGTTCTGTCCAATATGGGCGCTGTTGAAGCTCGCTCATGGAAAGACTTACTCCGCCAAGGAGAACAAGTCGAGAGCATGCTCAAGCATATGGGTGACGAAGACCCGCATGAATTTCGAGGGGATGATGACCAAGATGCCTTGGTAGTGGAGACCGATCCCTCATTTCCTCCAAATTTCCCCCGTTGATCTTCTTCAACAGGACGGCGGGCCCACATAGTCGCTCTAATCGCGACAATCTTGTCAAGTTAACACTACACCTCTGATAATCTCCCGTCGATCATCTTCAATAAGACGACGGGCCTACAAAGCTATCACGTTAACAATCACCTCTGATAGTTCTTCGACACTCCAACTGGTGCATGAGTTTAAACTGCTCCCTTAACACTCCGACAAGTACACGAGTATAAACTGCTTCTTCTGATCCTCCAACTGGTATAAGAGGTTAAACTATTCCCTACACTTCCACTTCTTGAGCCAGGTTCCCAGTACGGGCGACCCGCTCAAATCAGGCGAGCCTAACAGTTAGGCGAGTCCCACTTCTTGAGCCAGGTTTCCATTTACGGCGAACCGCTCAAAACAGGCGAGACTAGCAGTTCAGGTGGGCTGCATCAAACTCCCACTTGGTCAAACCTTCAGATAGTTAAGACCAAAGCCACAATCCCCCGCCAATCCTCTTCAATAGGATGGCGGGACCCCCACTGTCACGTTAACAGTTACCTCTGACAAATCAACTTACCAGTCCTCTTCAATAGGATGGTAGGTCCATAGAGTTGCTCACAAATCAGGCGAGCTTAACAGCTTAGGCGAGCCCCATCTTTTTGAGCCAGGTTCCCAGTTTCGGCGAACCGCTCAAATCAGGCGAGCTTAACAGTTGAGGCGAGCTCATCTCTTTGAGCCAGGTTCCCAGTTTCTGCGAACCGCTCAAATCAGGCGAGCCTAACAGTTAGGTGAGCCCCACTTCTTGAGCCTGGTTTTCATTTATGGCGAACCGCTCAAAACAGGCGAGACTAGCAGTTCAGGTGGGCTGCATCAAACTCCCACTTGGTCAAACCTTCAGATAGTTAGGACCAAAGCCACAATCCCCCGCCAATCCTCTTCAATAGGATGGCGGGACCCCCACTGTCACGTTAACAGTTACCTCTGACAAATCAACTTACCAGTCCTCTTCAATAGGATGGTAGGTCCATAGAGTTGCTCAAATCGCAATAAACTCCCACTGTCATGTTAACGGTCACCTCTGACAAAATCAACTTACCAATCCTCTTCAAAAGGATGGTAGGTCCTCAAAGTCGCTCCGATCGCGGCAATTCCTATCACGTTAACGATTACCTCTGATAGCCGACACCGTCATTCCCGCAAATGACGTTGTCCGATCAGTCGTCATACTCATACGTCCCTGAACGATTTGATTCTCCCAGCACCGTCTTTCCCATAAAAGGCGTTGTTGTTTGATAGTGGCCTACTATGCGATGTGCTGCTATTTCAGGGTTCGTCTTTGCCCCAAGAGAAGACAAATCAGGGTTCGTCTTCATCTTTGCCCTAAGAGAAGACAAGTTTCCCCCTTATACTCCGACTGGTGCATGAGTCTAAACTGCCCCCTTATACTCCAACTGGTGCATGAGTCTAAACTGCTCCTACCCTCCGACTGGTATACGAGGTTAAACTGCTCCCTTAAATCCAAACGCCTCGAAAGGCTAAGGATAGAGGAGAAATTTTAGCATTGAGCCTAAAAGAAACTCCTCAACAACTTACCATGCTAAGGGCAAGAGCATGGCTAGTCCAACTCAAACGGCAGTTGGTAAAGACAAATCAAGTCCGTTGATAGCTGAGGGTTTGCTCAAAATCCTAGAAGGCGATCATCAGCTGCGAGTGAAGAGCAGGGATCACTTTACGGGACTTCATATCCAAAGTGTTCCAGACCCCATGCGGCCTGATTCAGGTCTGAAAACTTTGGAGGGGGTTTTGTAGGCAATAAAAATCGCCTTTAAATCCTTATCAGAGAAGTTCAGAACAAAACTGCTAAAACCTCGCCCGAAATAGCAGAAAAAGGGGAAAACGCAGATATCTCCCAAACCGTAAGGAATTTGGCAAAACGGAGGAAGCGAACCGAAGCCTTCGGCTCGGTTCGGATGGCTCCATCTCGTCGAGATAGGCGATTTTCATATATAATTCGTCCAATTCCGACTTACGGTTTGAAAGTTACGGCCTATTCTTCAATCCATGCTCAGGAGCTCGCCTGCAACTCAAATTCGCCTGCAGTCCCAAATCCGCCTGCAGACCCAAGTCTGCCTGCGCACCTGAGCTCGCCTGCAAACCCAGTTCGCCTGCTAGCTCGCCTGCAGACCCAAGTCCGCCTGCAGTCCCAAACTCACCTGCAGACCCAGTTCGCCTGCAAGCTCGCCTGCAGACCCAAGCTGCAGACTCGCCAGCTCACTGTCAACTGCCCACTTGGAGTATGGGAACAGTTACATCAGTGGTCAAATCCCACAAATCAAGGGAGAGGGCACAATACTCCAGGCCCGTCAGATGGCCGTCCACAGTACGAATGAGCGGACAGGCGCCGAAACAGCCTGCACCCTCATAAATGCGGCTCACCTCAGTTGTCCAGGTGAAGGGACGAGAGCCGCCAACGCTCGGTGGTTGGTCAGATCCACGCAAGCATCTGACAGCCGTTGTCACGCATACGAGGAGGGGCTTTCCCACTCCTATGTAGCGTGATGCAGAGCACAGCTCTTCGAATGACCATTGACGGTACGAATGAACAGCAGGACGTCTCCGAACAACGTGTGGTCACATCCCATAATTCAAGGAGCAGTCAAGCTATCTCCCTCACCTCTATTAGTGGTCAAATCCCATGAATCAAGGGATAGCCCATGCCATCCCTTGCCTGTTAAAACCCATCTTCAGCAGCATGAAGAAGGGGGATTGGCCGTTGCATATTCTGCTGGCTAATCTCCCAAAGGTTGAACCTGGACCTTTGCCAAAGGCTCCCTCATTTGAGAACCGAAGCTCCGGCTCCGGCATCAACTTCGATCGGATCGTCCAAGGGAAGCAGACTCGGCACGAGCACCGAGCGAGGCATCCTATCGCCACCTAAAGTCCCCACACAAAACAAAGAGGGCCTTCCCTCTGCTTCTGTTGAGAACCGAAGCTCCGGCTCCGGCAGCAACTTCGATCGGATCGTCCAAGGGAAGCAGACTCGGCACGAGCACCGAGCGAGGCGTCCTATCGCCACCGAGGAACCCACGTTAAACAAGGAGGGCTTTCCCTCCGCTTCTGTTGTAAACATTTGATTTATTAGTTTGTAATAAGCCTTCTTATCAATACAAACGAAGCTCCCTGTTTCCGGGAGATCAAAATTTACACCTACACCAGCCTGTCAAATTTTTGGCTATAAAAGAAGCCCCCCCGAGCCCTAGGGTTTGTGCTTTTTCCCCTTCCTCCGATTTCTCTCTGGCTGGCGGCGACCCAAAAACGCAGCGGCGTTTTTTCCCATCTTCGGCTCTGAAATCGCAGCAGCGATTTTACTCCTTTTAATCTCCAGCTCTCAGGTGTTTTGAGGGGAGATTAGAAAAGGATTAGAGAGAGAGAAGGATAAAAGAGGGGTTTTATTGTGAGAGAAATTGAAAGGGTTTATTCCCTTTAATATTAACACTGTAGCTACAGTGTTTAATCTGAGAAATCTCAGTTTAGAGATTTGCTCTTAATTTGTAATTTCTTGTTAGATTAAATAAGAAATTGACTGTGTGGCTCCTGAGGACGTAGGCAGTTGCCGAACCTCGTTAAATCTTGTGTATTGTTCTCTATACTGCGTTTCTGTTGCATTAGGGATTTCGGCGTTAAATTCCCAACACAAAGTGTAGATTGTCAACTTCAATTATAAGCATTTTACTCCCAAAGTTTTTAATCTTGTTGATATTTATTTATGACTAACCAACTTGCGCGACTTTCACTAACATCTAGTTCAATAGTAAATCGGTGGAAATAAGGTTGTTGGATGTTTTCTGAATCTTTTTTTTCTTCCAGATAACCCTCAACTTTTTGGGGATTATCTAAAAATGTTTAGAAGATTTAAGTGGCATTTCCAAACTTTTTGGAGGTCATCTGAAAACAGGCCAAATTTCTTGGTGTGTGTGAAATTAACCCGATAAAAACACTAGTTTCATAGAAGCAACATTTCAAACCTTCTGGACAAAAATTAGCAGAGCAAGATTGCAAGAGAAATATTATATAAGAATAAAGATAATGTTAAACCGATGCCACAGTACTAGGTGGCTTCTAGTGCTAAAGAACTCGTAATTACTACTAAATTCAATCATGTTTAAGTTTTCTATTTTTTTTATAAACTGCCGCAAAGCTCGTTGATCTTTGTCTTAACGCGCTAATCTAATCTTCACAGAGCTAGTACAATGACATGAACCCCGATGACATAAACATGTTTAGAACTAGTATTCAATTAAAACAGTAGTCTTGCCTGCTAGCACGAAAGGGAAAGAAGTTAAAAAGAAAACTTAAAAATAAAATGAGGGGTCATCGAGTAGAGTTGTTAGATCTAAATCTAGGGATTGATAGAGAAAATACGCGACAATATAAAAAATATACATTGGTGGACACGTGCTGACGGATAAACTTACATCATGTGTTAAACTTAATAGATGCCAAAAACAATCTGCAAAAAAATAATAAATAAATGCATAAAAATAATTAGAGGTTGGTGAAAGAAAATTGACACAGCAGATAATTATCTTGAGAAAGGAAAGAGAATTACGTCGCCACTCTTGACATAATTTGGCAACCAAGAGCTGGATCTTGTTGTAGCAATTCTCTCAGGTTGTTACCCGTCCCTCTAAAGTCTGCAGCAAAAAATAAAAATTGCTCAAATGTTGCTGATTCTTATAGCATATTTACATAATTTGAACAAGGTAAGGTGACAAGGCAACACCCGCAAAGAAACTATAGCAGCTTCACTGTCCTGCAAAGAAACCTGGCATTATTGAAGGAATGAATGCTAATTAAAGAATGAGGTAGGCTTCTTAAAAAGGATGAGTTTCCACTACTCAAGGAATCAGACATTTTTCCTGCAAAGAAAATAGTTACGTTCACACCTTCAGATCAGAAATATGAACAGTTATACAGCTTAAACACTTAAACACTTAAACTACCGAAGTACGATTTAGACCTTGCCAGAAACACTTTGGCTTTCAACATCAGATTTCTATAAATGGCAAATGAACCTTGTGCCTGAGGATTCCCATGCATTGAATGCAAAATATTAAAACGATGTACTCAACAGTATCAAGCTTTAGGAATCCAAAAATGCTTGATATAGAAAATATGCGGGGATCGGAGATTTTTTCCACGTGTTTCAGATATGATTTGCTTCAGCTCTTAATAATCCCCTGACTGGTGTCAATATCTGAAGGGTTCACAAACAATTCACGCAAAAAGAGAACCCAAACCCCTTTTATTTCACGCAAAGGGAGCAGAGGATGGTTAGTGCTTGAAAAAAGAAAGCGTTGCAATTAACAAAGCGTTGCGATGGATATATCGTTCAGATGAGAGCAGGGCCAGAACCAGGATATTCATACAGTGTGAGCATAATATTAATAGACCCATAGAAGTTACTGAACTTTCTCAAAATCAAAGTACAATAACTATAAAATGCACATATCCTCCTCGATTACTTTAGAGTAGAACTTATCATATATAGCAATCAAGAATATTTTACCAAAAACAAACTACTTATACGCATAGACTAAAAAGTTGGCAGTGAGCCGATGATATTGTATGCAAAGAACCAACCTTGTGCCCACACAGATGTCATCTTACTCCGATCTTGGATAGGAGAGGCAGCAAGAGTTAAGTAACAATGGTAATGAGTTAAGTAACAATGGAATAAGTTGTTGGGAATTTACCCGTCGGGGCTACGCAAAACCCCTAATGCAGCAGAAACGCGGTATAGAAAAAAAGTACACCAAGATTTACGAGGTTCGGCAACTGCCTACGTCCTCGGGAGCCACACAATAAATTTCTTATTAATCAACAAGAAATTACAAAGCAAGAGCAGATCTCAAACTTGAGATCTCTCAATAAATGCTAATTAATTACTGTAGCTACAGTAATTAATTTCCTCTATTTTACGACCCTCTTTAATATCTCCTTAATAAATCCCTTCTCAAATCAAACCCCTTTTCTCAAATCTCTGAGAACGGAAAAAGGGCAAAGAGAGGGAGAGAGAGATTGCCGCCGCAAAAACGAGAGAGAGAGGGGGGGGGGAAAGCCGACAAGAGGGTTAGGGTTTGGGTTTCCTTTTATAGGGGGAACCCTAAGGCTGGTGACAGGTTGTTGCCAGCCATGCGCGACCTCGCCTGCGGGCGAGCCACGACTCCGCCAGATCTCGACTTGAACTCGCCTGTAAAGTCCCGTGATCGATTTCGCCTGTAGCGCTTGACAGCCTCGCCTGCAACTCCTCGAGTCGCCTGTTGCACGCGTCCTCTGCGTCGTCCTCGCCTACAGCCTCCTTCGAGCTCGCGTGCGATTCAACCATGAGCTCACTTGCTACACTCATTCGAACTCGCTTTCAAGAAGGTGGCCGTCTTGCCTGAAATCGTCGCCCAAGCTCGCCTGAATCAAGGTTTGGGCTTCACCCCCAATTCCAACAATCTCCCACTTGGAGATCAAACCGTCGTCAGCAGGCTATCTCAACAAGCATCATCTTCTGTGTGGCTCCGCTCTCATCATCTATGTATGAAGGCCAACTGAAATTACGCACAACTCCAGTTTCTAAACGGTCACCGTCTTTATTAACATGTCTGCTGGATTCTTACTCCCTGGAATCTTCTCCAGATTCAACACGTCATCTTCCAACAGGGATCTGATGAAGTGGTACCAAAGTGCAATATGCTTCGTTCTAGAATGAAATGCGGAATTCTTAGCTAAGTGAATCACACTCTGACTATCGCTATGCAAAACATTCTTCTCTTGTTTGAATCCCAGCTCTGTTAACAAACCCTGAAGCCATATCATCTCTTTACTGATTTCAGTCACTGTAACATACTCAGCTTCTGTAGTGGACAGAGTGATAATCTTCTGTATCTGTGATATCCAACTAATAGCTGTAGTTCTGACAGTGAATACATAGCCGGTGGTGCTTCTTCGGTGATCGACTTCACCGCCGAAGTTTGCATCTACATACCCATGCACTTCCACCTCTCCCTTACCAAAGTGCAAACACTTGTGTGTGGTACCTCGTAGATACCTCAGAATCCACTTGACCGCTTCCCAATGAGTTTTTCCTGCATTCGACATAAACCGGCTGACCACTCCCACTGCATGACCAATGTCTGGTCTCGTACAGACCATTACGTACATCAAACTTCCGATAGCTGAGGCGTAAGGAACCTAAGCCATACTCTCTTTCTCTTCTTCTAACTGAGGAGACTGATCATTCGATAGGCGAAAATGGTTGGCCAAGGGTGTGCTCACTGGTTTAGCGTCGCCCATGTTAAATCTTTGCAAAACACGGTTGATGTACTCCGTCTGAGATAACTGCAAGAGATCTCTCTTCTTATCTTTCATGATTTGTATTCCAATGATCTTCTTCGCTGGACCCAAATCCTTCATGTCAAACTCCTTTGACAGCTACTGCTTCAAACTCCTGATATCCTCCATATCTGCTCCTACAACCAACATATCATCAACATACAACAGTAGGATGATATAACTAGACTGATATATTTTGAAGTAGCAACAGTGGTCGGCGTTGCACTTCTGAAAACCTTCCTTGTGCATGAAACCGTCAAACTTCTTATACCACTGTCTTGGGGTTTGTTTCAGGTCATACAAGCTTTTCTTGAGTCTGCACACCAGGTTCTTTTTCTTTTCTTCTGAGAAACCTTCTGGCTGGTGTATGTATATCTCTTCTTCTAGATTTCCATGAAGAAACGTTGTCTTCACATCTAACTGCTCGAGATGAAGATCTTCAATTGCTACAATACTCATCACTGTCCTGATAGTATTTAGCTTCACCACGGGAGCAAAAATATCGGTGTAGTCAATTCTTTCATTCTGCTGGAAACCTTTGACAATTAGTCGGGCTTTATATCTTCTGGAATCATCCTGCTCCTCTTTCATCCGGTATACCCATTTGTTGTGGAGTGCCTTTTTACCCGTAGGTAACTCAGCTAGTTCCTACGTCTGATTTGAGATGAGAGACTTCATCTCATCTTTCATAGCAAGCTCCCACTTGCTCGCATCTCCACCCTGACAAGCTTCATCATAGTTTTCAGGCTCCCCTCTATCTGTCAACAACAGATAGTTCATGTAACTCCTGTTGGGCAGGAGATCGTGAAGATCTCCTCAAAATCGGAGCTGGTGCGTCGGGCTCTTATGCACCATCTTATCCAACAGGCTCTTTTGGCTGAGGATCTTCTGTATTGGGTTCTTCCGAGAGGTTACTCGGGACATCATCTGCATCTACAAATATTGACTCGCTCTCTGAGTCATTTGTCTTGTGCATGTCCTTGTACATCACCTTCTCGTTGAATATCATATCTCTGCTCCTGATCACTTTCTTGTTTTCGTTGTCCCAAATACGGTAGCCGAACTCATCTTCACCATAGACGATGAAAGTGTATTTCTTTGACTTGGGATCAAGCTTATTCCTGCCTTTCTCACTAATATGCACGTAAGCTACACAACCGAAAACTTTAAGATGTGAGAGTTTTACCTCCTTCTCGCACCATACCTCCTCTGGTATTCTGTGCTCCAATAGAACCGATAGACCTCGGTTAATCAAGTAAGCTGCTGTGTTGACCGCTTCTGCCCAGAACTGCTTCGGTAGGCCTGACTGTACCCGAATGCTTATGGCTCTCTCTGTCGGCGTTCGGTTCATCCGCTCAGCTACACCATTTTGCTGAGGCGTACCGGGCACGGTTCTCTGCATTTTGATCCCGTGCTCATAGCAAAACTTCTTGAATCCGGTGTTTTCATACTCACCACTATTATCGGTCCTGACCTTCTTTATTCTCAGACCGGTCTCATTCTCAACCATAGCTTTTCATTTCCTGAAAGCTTCAAATACTTCTGACTTATGCTTCAGAAAGTAGACCCACACTTTCCGAGAGTGATCATCGATAAAAGTCACGAAGTAGTGTTTTCCACTTATGGACGCGGTGGTGGTTGGTCCCCAAACATCTGAGTGAACGACTTCTAGCTTCTCCTTCTTGGGGGTTCTGCCACTTGTCTGGAAGCTAACTCTTTTCTGCTTTCCAAGTATGCATTCTTCACACATCTAAATCAACTGATTCTAGACCTGGGAGTTTTCCCTTTGTGTGCATGATTTTTATCCCCTTTTCACTCATATGATCGAGTCTCTGATGCCACAGTTTTGAAGTCTCATTGCCTGCTGTAACTGAGATCAAACAGCGCGCACCTGCTGTCATATACAGGGTACCAATCTTCCTGTCTCGGACAATCGTCATTGCGCCCTTTGAGATCTTCCAATCATCTCCATGGAAGGTCGTAGTGTATCCTTCGCCAGCCAATTGGCCTACGGATATTAAATTATTTCTCAGGTCGGAAATATGTCTGACATCATTCAGCTCACATACTGACCCGTTCAACTTAATTTTTACCACACATTTGCCCACAATAGCACACGGTTGATCATCACCAAGATATACGTATCCAAGATTTCCGAGAACATACTTCTCGAAGAATTCTTTCTGAGAAGTAGCATGGAACGACGCTCCTGAATCTAACACCCAAGATTCTTCCTTGCTTTCCAAAGAGCATATCAATGCGTCGTCTCCTTCTGAAGTGGAAGTGACATTCACCTCTGCCTTCGCCTTCTTCTCCTTCTAAGCACTCTTGCACTGATTCTTGTAATGCTCGGTCTTTTCATAATTCCAACACTCGATAGCCTTCGAACTGTTGCTTGGATTCCTTGATTTGGACCTCCTGTCCTTTAATCTACCTCTGTAGTTTGATTTACCTCGTCCGTTCCCCTGGTTGAATTTCTACCTCTTGACTCTGTATGTAATACTGAAGAGGTTGTAACTTCACCCGACTCTCTTCGTCGGATCTCCTCACTGAGAACCAGATCATGAACGTCGTCGAATTTTAACTTGGTGCTTCCCGACGAGCTACTCACTACCGTGACGGTAGCGTTCCAGCTTTCTGGTAGGGAGGACAAAAGTATTAACGCCCGAACTTCCTCATCAAACTTAATTTCAACTGAACTCAATTGGGTTGTGATCGTGTGAGTTTATTGAGGTGTTGTGCTACTGACGCGCCTTCCGCCATTCTCAGATTGAATAATCGCCGCATTAAATGAACTTTGTTCGCAGCTGATAGCTTCTCATACATATTTGAGAGAGCTGTCATAAGACCCGCCGTGGTCTTCTCCTTCGTTATGTTGAACGTAACATTGCGAGTCAACGTCAATCTGATAACTCCGAGGGCTTGTCTATCTAGAAGGTTCCACTCATCTGTCTTCATAGAATCTGACTTCTTCCCCGATAGTGGTTGATACAGATTTTTTTGATACAGATAATCATCTATTTGTATTTTTTAAAATCCGAAATCTATTCCATCAAACTTCTCAAGTCCCATTTTTCCTTCATCTGCGGCCATGGCTCCCACTTGAATCTAACTTTTTCTAGATCGTTTTACGCTCTGATACCAGTTGTTAAGAATTTACCCGCCGGGGCTACGCAAAACCCCTAATGTAGCAGAAACACGGTATAGAAAAAAAAATACACCAAGATTTACGAGGTTCGACAACTGCTTACGTCCTCGGGAGCCACACAATAAATTTCTTATTAATCAACAAGAAATTACAAAGCAAGAACAAATCTCAAACTTGAGATCTCTCAATAAATGCTAATTAATTATTGTACCTACAGTAATTAATTTCCTCTCATTTACAGCCCCTCTTTAATATCTCTTTAATAAATCCCTTCTCAAATCAAACCCCTTTTCTCAAATCTCTGAGAACGAAAAAAGGGCAAAGAGAGGGAGAGAGAGATTGCCGCCGCAAAAACGAGAGAGAGAAGGGGGGAAGCCGACAAGAGGGTTAGGGTTTGGGTTTCCTTTTATAGGGGGAATCCTAAGGCTGGCGACAGGCTGTCGCCAGCCATGCGCGACCTCGCCTGCGGGTGAGTCACGACCCCGCCAAGATCGTCGATCTACGAACTCGCTTGTAAAGTCCCGCGATCGATTTCGCCTGTAGCGCTTGACAGCCTCGCCTGCAACTCCTCGAGTCGCCTGTTGCACGCGTCCTCTGTGTCGTCCTCGCCTACAGCCCCCCTTCGAGCTCGCCTGCGATTCAACCATGAGCTCGCCTGCTTCACTCATTCGAACTCACCTCCAAGAAGGTGGTCGCCTTGCCTGAAATCGTCACCCAAGCTCGCCTGAATCAAGGTTTGGGCTTCACCCCCAATTCCAACATAAGTTAAATGCACGCATAGCAATAATTAGTTAAGGCGATGAAAATGATAAAAAGGCAACTGAAAGCTCGATGCGTAAAGTCTTGGCAATGATGTCTTTAACAAATGAAACACGACAAGGCAGAACGTCTTTGAACAATACGGCTAAAATGGTTTTCAGAAGTAACTGTCAAAGGAATCCCCAACTAGAATGGTATACCAAAACAACAGGTTCTACTGGAATTTCTGAACTTGATTGTAAAAAAGTCAACCAAGAGTTCAAAAGTAAAAAGATCAGAAGGACAGCACCAATGAGTTTTGATATAATTTATTGGCTTTCTTATATAGAATAAACATAAGCTGCTAAGCATGCTAAAAACATTTCATATGTAAAAACAGTACTAGTATGTCCAGCTATCTCCTTTCTTCCATAGAATAGACGTGTCTTATGGGTTTGTTTGCTTGCTTGCATGATGAAAGTGAAACTGAAAGTGTGAAAATGAACTCACTTTCAGTCACTTCTGGTGTTTGTTTTATCGAAACTGCATGCAGAAGAAAAACTTACATGTCAAATTTAATGCATATTTCACTTTCCTTCAAAAATGCAGAAGCCGTCCTGAAAGAGAGAAATTGTGGGGACCACTGTATTAATTTATTGATATATCATTGAAAGATGATATGATTTTAAATAAATTAAGTAAATAGTATTGCCGTCGTCTCCAATTTTGTACTTGCAAGAACAATTTTTTTGCAATCAAACTACTGTATTTCATTTGCACATTTGTACACTGACACGAATGCATTTTCACCTGTGTAATTTATAGAAGAAAGTGACTTTCACACTTGCAAATTCACCTTCAATTTGCCAAACACCCTCTAAGGGTGTAATGGAAAGCAACACTTGAAGGATCCGTACAAGTAATAGAACCTTGTCCGGGTTTCACTTTGAACAACACGTATCCATGACGTGTTCATGGAGAATACGTATCCAACACGTGTCGGACATGGAGACGGCATCCAAAACACCTTCTCCGAGTTACCTAGCCTTGTACATATAAATACATATGTAACTCTTAGAAGGGTACTAAAATACGTGAAAACATGGGACCAACAAAAGGAGAAGCGAAGCTTTCACTTTGCTAGCTATTGATCTTGGATAGAATCCCAAAGAAAATAAAAAAGGTATAGGGGATACGTGGTGACTTGTCAATGCTTGATCTCATGAATCATGCGTCCAAACGGAAGTGCTCCTTATACTTTCAACCTTGTCTACCACACTAACATTAGAAAGACAATTAAAATGAAATGAAAAATGTGATGCAGTTGCAAGATCATAAAATGTGAAGTTTACCCAATTAAGATGATAGACTTTTTAAAGATATTCCTAATATAAAAATCTATCAGCTCGAAACCTATTCATATTCTATTTAGATTTTTTTTTTAAAATATTCAGCTTTGGATCGAACCAGACAAAAATTAGATATGTAAAACATATCCATACCTAGGTTCAATAGTGAAACAAAGTTTCATACCCAAACCTGAATATATACAATCAGAAAACACCATATCCTCAGCACTCATACTACCTTTTTTTATTTGCATTATACAAGTTGATATTTATAATTTTCATTTGATTTGTATATTTGCAATTGGAAAAATCAAGTGCAAAAATATGGACAAAGCCCTTCATGAATCAAGCTCTTCCAACCCTAATGGAACCTCCGAGAACAATGTTGTTGACAAGCCAACTATAGCATTCATTCCAGTTCCAATACCAACCACAAACTTGTCAAAATCTCTACCTGATGAGAAGATAAATGCTATGAAGAAGATTTAACATGGTTTCATAGAAAGAGAAGTATTTATTTATTTTTAATCTTGGTATTTTTGGACTTTTATTTCTATTTTTATTTATTCTGTATGAGGTTGATGTACATAAATGATTATGATATGTAGAAGAAAAAAAATTACTCGTCGTGAATGGTTAAACATATCCGAAAGCTGATAAGAGATGATTTAATTGTTTCCGCTATTAAGTCTTACACTACAAGGTATCATCACAGTCTAAAACATTGTATACTTTCTTAGTTGGAACGACAATATGGTCTAGTTTTGCATCTGAAATCTCCTATGATTGTCGATCATATCTCTCACTTTACTATTAATCAGATCTAATTACATAACAAGATCTAAGTTATATCGATAATGTCACAAAATTAGATTTAAAAGTTTATTAAATTTACTTAGCTAAACTAATATGAGGGATAGGGAAAGTTGTATTTGTTTAGTACTGATTCTTTAAGTTTTTTATTGTCAAATTATCGATGCTTATTTTTTTCATTTTTAGAATACTTGATCGCTTCTTTGCCAAAACTTCAAAATGAATGGAAAAAGTCTTTCAACTTTATATATTAAGTTCTGTTTTGAAACATATAATGGAGGAAAGGAAGAGTAATTAGTTAGCTTAAACGAGGCAACTAGAAAGATCTAACTAGATTCAAAGCAGAGGTGATGCCTGAGAATCATAGTAAAAGTTTTTAGGATAAGAGTGTTCCAACTTCCAACAACAGTAAGATACATGACAAAATTCTGACATGTAATAAGAGTAAAAAGTAACGAAATAAATAAAGTATAGGCAAAATATTCCAACAGATTTACAGATGAGCAGAAATTAAATCTAAAAGAATATCTCAGCTTATTTATGAGTTTCATATGTTTAAGGATCTTGTAGTACAAGCACTTGCAAAGGAACTACATGATTTTAAATTAAAAAGTAGTATTTCATTATAAACACCACGATGTTAGATTCTCGATTATATAGTACAATGTAACATAATATATTTAGTATGTTATATATATCGTTTATATGCTAAATTTTAGGCTGTAGATAGTATTACATAACATTTAATCATCAAACTAAATTCTTTATAATTGGCTAGAAAACTCATGTGCATTAAGGTGTGTTTGCATACAGTTTATTGTCGTTCTGATTGAATACTAATCTAATTCGCTATTTTAGAACTGACATTCAAATATATACATGTGTACACAGATGCATAAATGAACATGAACACATGTAAAAGTGCACATACATGGCTACTTGCACGCCTACACAAATAAACCCACACTTGTACAAACACATAAATGTGCATACACAAACAAACACAAGAGATTGAGAGATATAAGCTTATTTTCTCATATTTTGCCCTCTATAGATGATGACAGAATCAATGAAAACAGAATTTGAAAAACTAAACAGCCATATGGAATGATGTGGGGGATGGGATCAATATTCGTAAAAGACTTTGTGGTTATCATAGTTATTGACGCTTTCTGATTGTTCAATAATAAATTAACTATTTCAATATGACTATTGATTGTTTATATTAATTATTTGAAACTATGAGATGACATTTAGATTTTTGTTCTGTATACTTTTATCTTGACAAGATGAACTTTGACTACTCTACTTTGGTCAATAGATTTTTGAGAGCGTACTCATGTACATTGCTGCTTTCAGATTACGTTTTGATTCTTTCTATTTATTTAGTTAGCAACAATCAATATATGTTTCATGACCAAAAAAACAACCTATACATGCCAGAGTCAACTTACTATCTCATATTATAAAAGCTGTACATAACGTGTATAAAAGTACGAGGCAATGAAACAAAACTTTTTCACACAAATCATTTCTCTTTTATTCCACAGTATCATGCGAATGTATTAAACGAGACATATTTGTGCCATGCAACAAAATAATGATGTGATGACATACTGTAATCATAATAACATAACCAAACAAATAAATTAACAAAAAAATTATAACGTACGTGCAAAATGCGATTTTGAATTTCAGCCAATATCTGAAATGTGAACAACACTGTCTAGAAAATACTATCATCGATGTATTATTTCATCATATGCTGTCAAGTGCTTGAAAATAACCTGTAGCTTGAAATAACATATAACATTTAAAACATTGATGGTATTTGGCTCCAGTTTTATGCAAAACAACCCAACTTTTCTCTTATTCTGTCCATAGGCGATGTTGATCATTATACTTTTGTTGGTATACTATATCTCATTCGCTAAAAATAATTTTTATGGCAGCAGATCTTATAGGTGTATTGCTTTTCTTATGATGCAAAATTCTCGTCCATAGCAGTGTGACAAAGTTACTCAGACTAAGAGACAGAGAATTTAGGATGCAAAATTCCAAAGTCTAGCTCATTACGCAATGATGATAGGAACACAATATATGCAAGTGTGAAAAAATACATGTTACTAACAATTGCTTACTCGTGTCTTAATGACGATATGTGTAGGTTCTAAAAAAAATTTAAACTGGTGAATTTACACATACAGTTTTCTTTCTGTTTCGGGAAGAGTTTCGCTGCTGTTGTATATGTTTTACTCCATTTAACACGAGTCTCAAAGTGTCACATTTTAGGTCCAAAATTATCATAATAACTACAGAGAAAATAGATGTGTATCTTAACATAAGCTCCTATATCTTAGCATAGGTTCCAGTAAATTATTGCTGCAATGCATATGGAACTAAGCAATTGATAGTTTGATACTTGATTTAGTCAACAAGGCTCGAGTTAAAGAGATGTAAAACATAGTCAAAAACCAATTTTAGCAATGTGGTTTAGTTATGAAACCAAGGTTTTTGGATGGGAACCTCGTTAAGCATGGAAAAGGAAAATCTTCTCCTAACTGTTAAAGTAATTTGAAACAATTTCCCTAAAATATGCCCAGTTCAGTTCGTTGTAAAAATAAAATAAAATAAAAATAAAAATAGCATTCAAAAGAAAATGGTCTTCTCAACTGCTTCAGTTTTCCGGTGGTCTCTATCATGAGCCCTTGAGGCTCCACCAAATCCTAGAATCAACAAGCCCTCAATTTATTAATTTCAGAGAGAGAGAGAGAGAGAGAGAGAGAGAATGGGTATGCTCGGTACCAAGCACAAATTTTGTGCTTGGTAGTGATGTGGCATAATCTCATCCACTCATTCAAATAGGGGACCACATTTATATAGGTTGAGGAGTGCATAGGGATATGGAACCATTTGAATGAGTGGAGGAGGATGTCACACCTCACTACCTGTTAGGACAAACTCAGGGCCCAATAGAGCAGAGTCGCAGCAATAGTAGAGCAAAAATTAAGATAAAATGATAGACACACAGATTTACGTGGTTCGGCACTTGATTGTCTACGTTCAGGGGCAAGGATAGAAGAATCCACTATGAGGAGAAAACTCTGGAGTTACAATATCTCTTTACAAGGAGATACTCTCTCTCTATTTTTTCCCTCTCACTCTTCTATATGAGGAGTTGTTTCTAGGATGAGTTTTTCTTAAGGATTTGGAGCCTATTTATAGTTTTTGGAAAAACACTATGCATAATAAAATGTTAATATTTCACTATGTTGTGGGGCCCATCATTTTTGTATTCTTTTCCTTCTTTTCAACGTTTGTGGGCTAGTGGATTCATTTGTTAAAGAAACATGGGCGGCTGCCTGACAATCACCCACTTGAAGATTTGATTGAGTATCAATCATATCTTCACATTATTCTTTCTATCTTGCCATTTTCATGGTGCTTTACGTCTCTGACATACCACAAGAGGATTGACACCAAATAAATTTGTCAGTATGGACTGCTTTTGTCAAAAAATCTGCTAGGTTATCTTTAGTGTGAATTTTCTGCATATCCACTGTTCTTTCTACCACTTTCTCACGAACGAAGTGATACTGAACGCGAATGTGTTTGGTCTTTAAATGAAATGCTGGATTTCTTGCTAAATGCAAAGCACTCTGACTATCACAAAATAAAGAAATCTTCTTTTGTTCATGGCCGAGTTCCTCCAGCACCATCTTCAACCACATCGCCTCTTTACTAGCTTGTGTAGCTACTATATATTCTGCTTCTGTTGTTGAAGTAGTCACAACTGACTGTAGTTTTAAAACCCAGCTTACAGCTCCGTCAGCAAGTGTAAACACATAGCCTATGGTGGATTTGATATTATCACGATCACCTGTATAATCAGAATCAACATATCCACTGATAATAAAATTAGATCCCTCATAACATAATACAACATTTGAGGTTCCTTGAATGTATCTTAGAACCCTCTTTACAGCATTTCAATGCTCTTTATCAAGATTCGCCATGTATCGACTAACCACTCTCACTGCTTGTGCAATGTCTATAGTCTTGTACAAATCATAGCAAACATTAAGGTTCCCACTGCTGATGCATACGACACTCGAGACATCTCCATCCTTTCTTCTTCACTGTTAGGACTCATACTAGAGGATAAATTGAAATTAATAGGAAGTGGGGTAGAAATTGACTTATAATCTTGCATGTTAAAACGTCACAAGATTTTCTTCAAATAGTTCTTCTGAGAAAGCCAAATCTTCCTATTAATTCTTTCTCGGTAAATTTGCATCCCTAGAATCTTATTTACAGATCCTAAATCTTTCATTTCAAGTTCCCTAGTCAACTGAGCCTTTAATTTTTTGATACGATCTTTGTTGGTGCCTGCAACCAACATGTCGTCAACATACAACGATAATATAACAAAGCTATTTTTACCAAACCTCTTGAAATATGCACAAGGATCTGAATTAAGTCTGTTGTATCCAAGGCTCATGATGAATGAATCAAATCTCTCAAACCAACACCTTAGCACCTGCTTTAGACCGTACAGAGATTTGTTCAATCTGCAAATCAATTTCTCTTTTTCTTTTTGTTCAAAACCTTCTGGTTGGAGCATGTAAATTTCTTCTTCAAGATCTTCATGAAGAAATATTGTTTTCACATCTAGCTGCTCTAGATATAAGTCAAATATAACGCTTATAGTCAAGACTATTCGAACTGTTGTAAGTCGAACTACAGGAGAAAATATTTTATTAAAGTCAATACCTTCTTTCTGAGCATATCTTTTTACCACCAATCTAACACGATATCGCTCCACTTGATCATCGTCATTTCGCTTGATCTTGTACACCCATTTATTTCCAATGGTCTTTCTTCCTTGTGGTAATGACACAAGTACTCAAGTCTTGTTCTTATGGAGAGCTTCAATTTTTTTCTACATTGATGTCATCCATAAAGATGCATCTGTGTTATTTATAGCTTCATAAAAAATTGATGGCTCTCCATCCTCCGTTAGAAGACAGTATGCAACACCACTCTCCGTAATATACTCCGAGTGTCAAGTCGGTGGTCTTCTCTTACGAGTTGACCTTCGAATTTTTAGAGCCTCGGACTCGACCGGTTCTTGTACATCATGCTCCGGTGTTGCTTTAGAAGAATTCAGATTATCTTCTACCTGAACTGCTACAGTCTCTGAGTCCTTTCTCGAATTGCTTCCTTTTCTTCACTTTGTAGTTGGTTATCTACAAAGATAACATTTCTGCTGATGATAACATTGTGGGCAGTGGGATCTCACGGGTGATACCCCTTTACTCTATCAGCATACCCCAAGAATAAGTATTTTCCATATATTACGTACACTGGACTTTCAAATATATGGAGGTTAGAATAATCAGCTGGCTTGTCAGTCCACATCTCCATCGGCGTCTTCAACTGTATTACGGTTGATGGAGATCGATTCACCACATAACAGACGATTTTTACTGCTTCCGTCCAAAAGACTTTATCTAGATTTACAGTTGTCAACATACTTCTTGTGCTTTCCAACAGAGTTTTGTTCATCCGCTCCGCCACTCCATTTTGTTGAGGAGTATAAACTGTACTGAATTGTCTTTTGATACCTTCATGCTTGCAGAATACTAGGAATTCACCGTCTGTATATTCTCCTCCATTATCTGACCTTAAGCACTTGATCTTTTTCTCAGATTCAAACTCGACTCGCGCTTTGTAGGCTTTAAAGACTGAGAACACATCCACCTTCTTCTTGATAGGATACACCCAACATCTCCTGGAATAATCATCAATAAATGACACAAAATACTTTGCTCCTCCCAAGAATGTAACTGGTACTTGTCATACATCAGAATGAACCAATTTCAGAATAACATTGCTTCTAGAACTTGATGTGTTAAACTTCAGCCGATGCTGCTTACTTATAACACAATACTCACAGAATGAAAGAGCTACCGAATAAGTCCAGTAAGCAGAATCTGATCGGAGAGAATCTTCAAGCCTTATTCTAACATGTGGCCTAGTTTATGATGTCACATCATGGTTTATTCTTCTCTACGGCTGGTTGATGCCACACATGAATCAGCTTCCTACAGGGTTTCTCCCGTGAACATGTATAAATTTGCAGGTATCTTCTTTCCTTTTATAACAACAAGCGTCCCTCTAACAATCTTCATGATCATGTTATATGAGTCTTACACCCGAGCTCATCTAATTGTCTTAAAGACAATAGATTCTTCTTCAGGCCCTTCACATGTCGCACATCTTGAATAGTGCGTATTGTACCATCAAATATTTTGATTTTGATAGTACTAATACCAGAAATCTCTAAGGCATGATTATTCACCATGAATACAAATCCTCCTGAGATAGGTTTATATTTGTGAAATCATTCTCTTCAGGAGGTCATGTGTCAGGAGGCTTGTGAATCTAGAAGCTAGACATTAGCAAACCTCATTCTGCCTTCATCAATAGTGGTTGCTCCATTGAATAGAGTTTCACCATCGTCTGATGTGCTGACAACACATCCTTGAGATGTTGATGGCTCTGAAGCCTTTTTATCTCCACCCTTTTTATTGTGCAAACACTCTGATTTGACGTGCCCTCTTTTATCACAGTTATAGCATTTGATATTCTTCTTACTTCTTGATTTGGATTTATCATGGGTATGACTCCCACTAGAGTCACGTTCTGTTGATCTTCCTCTCGTCATCGATAAGGCCTTCACTTGTTGTGAACTTGTCTGTTTGTCTTCCTTGCTCTTACGCCAATTTTCTTCCTCCAGAATAGCGGCTGCAATATCGTTGAAGACTAAATTGTCTGTGAGAACGTTGCTTGTCAGGTTGATGATGAGTTGATCATATGAGTCAGATAGATTATGAAGTAGAAGTTCTGCACGTTCATTCGCACCAACTGTATACCCCAACATTGTGAGTTGGGAGAACAGTGTGTTTAGGGTGTTGATGTGGTTAGTCATCGATGTAGATTCCGCCATCCTAAGAGTGTAAAGTCTCTTTTTTAAGAAGATTTTATTGTGCATGGAATTCGCCTCATATAGCTTTGTTAGAGTATCCTAGATCTCCTTTGTTGTCTTATTCTCATCTATGCTTGATAGCATTCCGTCTGCTAATGCCAGATGGAGATTTACAATAGCATTGTCGTTCATCTCGTTCCACTTATTATCATCTGTGATATCGTCCGATCTTATACTGATGACCGCAAGACAATATCTTTTCTCAAGATAGCATTTATCTTTAACTTCCACAGTGAGAAATTACTCTCGTCGAATTTCTCGATCTTGAACTTTGCCGACATTGCTTCTACCTCGAACAATAACTTCTTACTACTGCACGTAAATAGTAATTGTATTTATGAACAATAATCGTATCTGTGAATAGTATCGTACTTATAAATAGTACCATATTTTTGAACAATACCGTACTCGTGAACAGTACCCCTCACCTTCAAAGGGTAAATAATAAACTAACTTATTTTTTGATGTGAAGGATCCACTTTTGGTGGCAGCCACAGAGCATACGATAAGTAGATATATACAAGCATCCTAAGTTAGCTTTGATATCACTTGTTGGGACAAACTCAGGGCCCAATAGATCAGAGTCGCAGCAATAGTAGAGCAAAAATAGAGATAAAATGATAGATACACAAATATTACGTGGTTCGGCACTTGATTGCCTATGTCCACGGGTAAGGATAGAAGAATCCACTATGAGGAGAAAACTCTGGAATCACAATCTCTTTTTACAAGGAGATATTCTCTTTATTTTTTCTCTCTCACTCTTCTATATGAGGAGTTGTTTCTGGTATGAGTTTTTTTAAAGGATTTAGAGTCTATTTATAGCTTTTGGAAAAATACTATGCATAATAAAATATTAATATTTTACTATGTTGTGAGGCCCGTCATTTTTGTTGTCTTTTCATTCTTTTCAACGTTTGTGGGCGAGTGGATTCATTTGTCAAAGAAACATGGGTTGCTGCTTGACACTATCAAGCACAAAAAGCATAATTTTTTTTACTTGGTACCAAGCATACTCATTTTTCTTTTATATATATATATTTATATAAAATAGGGAAAATTGATTCTAGCCCCTAAAACGATTATACTTAGAATCGAAGTTCCAACTACCACTAGAAATTACTCAATTTTAGAGAACAGATGAATGAAAGAAGAAGAAGGTTGTGATACCTTTCGATTTGCTTCCTTCGCCATTTCACCGGAGCTAAAACCCTAACCCTAACCCTAACCTTTGCGTCTATATATATTTATATAAAATAGGGAAAATTGATTCTAGCCCCTAAAACGATTATACTTAGAATCGAAGTTCCAACTACCACTAGAAATTACTCAATTTTAGAGAACAGATGAATGAAAGAAGAAGAAGGTTGTGATACCTTTCGATTTGCTTCCTTCGCCATTTCACCGGAGCTAAAACCCTAACCCTAACCCTAACCTTTGCGTCGAAAGAAAGAGCGACGACGACGTCGTTCAGTCTTCTCGGCTGCTGATCTAATTAATTAATCCTTTTTGGGGCTTCGAGTGCGTGGGGTTTCACAGGCCTGACGCTTGACAGGGCTTCAATATTGGGTTGGATCGACATACACGGCCCAATAGGAACATACACAAGGTTGAAAATGGCCTTTTATTGGCTTTGATGTGTAGACCAAATCAAGGGATTGAATTGAATCTGAGTGGGTTGGCGTAGCTTCTGATCAATCTCATCTGGCTTCCTGCACAACTGATTTCAATGCAAGTTTCAATTATTAAAATTATTATTATGTTTAGTTTCTTAAATTGATCATATATCCTCATGCATAACTTACAATACAACCCATGAGTCCCAACTCATATATTTCTTATCAGGATCTCCTAACTTCGTCATTTGTAATTTCTTATACTAGTGATAGTATATATGTATTTTCTCGATGGAATATATAATAAAACAGAATTTTAGAGAAATCAGTAATAATAAATTTATATTTGTTGATGTCAGAAAGTTGACGTATTATTTACGAGAGATAAGTATAGAAGAACAATTTTTCAAAACAGCCACATTTTTTTTTTAAATCGAACGATTTTTTTTATTTACCAAAACCGACCCGTTTTTTTTGCCACGTCAGCCTAATCACCGTCCTAAATAGTCGGGTTGCCAACCCCGACTATTTAGGACATAAATTTTTAGTGTTTTAGGCTTCTAATTGGGGTTTAATGCACTCCTAAATAGTCGGGGTTGGCAACCCCGACTATTTAGGAGGGTGATTAGGCTGACGTGGAAAAAAACGGATCGGTTTTGATAAAAAAAATCGGTCGATTTTTAAAATAAAAAAATAAAATAGGGCCGTTTTGAAAAATTGTTCAGTATAAAATTAGGGTCCTTTGATATTCTTTGATGGTCGGTCGTTCATGTGGAAAATCTTGAGCTGCAATTTTCTACACATATAATAGAGGTTAGAGGCGCCCCAGAGGTCGTTTCCTCCGGCGTGCCCTCTAACACCCAAGTCAAACGACTAATCTTATTAATATGAGGAGAAAATTAGTGCAAAATCTTATTTGACTTTTTGTGTGTAAAATTACGTACCTTAGTATGATGGAAACTACCATTATTTATAAAAGATTTACAGAGGTACATTGGTAATTTGGCTGTGTTTATGCAATGAGGGGTCAGACCATGCTTTATACATGTCGGTAACTGGTCGAATGAGTCACCTTGCAACAGTGACAAAGGCTGCTGAAATACTAGCGCGGTCCGAGGCGCTTTGAAGTCTATGGCTCAAAATATCATAATGACTAACATCACATTGATATTGATGGCGACAAGGCGGCGAAGTGTAGGTGTTGGTTGTCCATGCATTAAATTCGATCTGAGGTTGACAGTTGTTGGGGGCATGACACGCCCACTCGCCGCGGAAGCGAATCACCTTGAGAGAAAGCCCTGGCTTTTGTTTTCACAAAACACAAGCCAATCTCGATGTTCATGCTTCGATGACGAAAACAAGAACAGAAGTGAATATCTCAGCAAGGTGAGATATACACTCTTCCCAATATCAGATCTAGGTCTGAATATCGAGGAAACCAACCAACACAAGCAATAGCCAATACAATAAGTGAGACACGAGATTTACGTAGTTCGAAAAACTTGCTTACGTCCACGGGGAGGGGTGAAGGGAGATTCCACTATGATGAAGAACACCGACGATTTGTACAACCCACAAGCTCGTCCCAAAGAGATGGGGCTTCGATTTTACCCAAGAAAGATGATCTCTTTCTTGTACAATCCCTCCAAGTTCTATCTCTTTCTCTCCTCAAGATCTCACATTTAGATCTAAAAAACTCTCTGCTTTTTCTTCTCTAAGCAGCCAACAAACCCTCTGAAAAAACCCTAGGAACAAGTTCCTATTTATACCCAAAGAATTAGACCCGAAACAGGCCCAAAAAACCACATCCTAAAAATTCTCGTTGGTTGTCTCGGAGCCCGCGCGAGACACATAGTGTGTCTCGGGTTTGGGAGGTGCCGAGACACACAATTGGGTGTGGCCCCCGCGAAACACAAAATGTGTCTTGCTCCACACGTTCACGTGTGGCCCCCGCGAGACACAAAACGTATATCGCGCCACACGTCATAATAGTTCATTACCTTGTTCAAAACGCCCATTGTCGGGTCTGAGTAGGGAACGCCTTTCATCACGGATTTAGGCTCCTGGTAGACCCCGGGTCAAATATGTCTTTTGTCTCAAATCTGGGTCGCGAAATAGGTCGAATGACTCCGCAATTGAGTCGTGCTCTCAGATGTATGTGAGTCGGCCAGCTAGACACGCGGCCATTTCTTTAGGTTTCATTACGCCCGATAATTTTTAGGGTAGAACAACACTTGACGTGGAAACTAGTGATGTTTCTGTAAACTATTTCAACAGGGAATTTAACCTGATGTTGTCATATGTTTTACATTCAGTGATTGAATTCCCTTCTGGTTAACTTGACTTGAAGTTGTATGTAGTTTGACTTGTAATTATCCATCATATATAGTGCTACTACTCCTAGAATACACATTTTATTAGTTTATAAATAACTTATCTTTGTTTATAGTCTTCTCTAAAAAAAATCTAAAAAAAACCCAGCTACGATGCTAAAACTGGCTTAAAACAATGTATCCAATCTGATTAATTATTCTTTAATATGATATTTAGTGAAAGGTTGGCTATAAGAAAACTCATATTCCTTTCCCTTCACTCCAAAACGCATAAATCAATGCATTACAGAATAATTTGGTTCACCCCCATTTGTTGGAATATAATTCAAATGAAAATCTTTCTTTCTACAATGTTTATTTGAAATAATGGGTGTGAAGTGCCTGCTTACTTTGCTAAACGAGCTACTAAGATATTGCTCACGTGATGAAGCTCACCTAAAAGTCACAATAAATTGTGCGGACCTCACAGACGGCTCATTTTACAAGATGAATTGTCACCTCATAACCATCAAACACATATATATTATGTAGCCTATTTTCCAATCATAATCACGATTAATCACTTGGCAGTTATAATTCTCAAGAATTAGGCTCATGGTTTTGGATTCGAAAGTAAGTTCTTCAATAATAACAAAAAGGAATATTTTACCAACTGATCTTGAAGATTGTACTTAGGGGCTGTTTGGTTCGTTTCCTTGATATAGAGAAATGCAATTCCATGTAAAGAAACACAAGTTTTGAGTTTTCCAAACTTTTCCAAGAAATAGATTGTTTTGCTTTGGTTCGCACGGGAAACCAATGTATTTATTTTTCTTGTGTTTGGTTCGCATAGAAAAAAAGGAAAACTTTTGTAAACAAAGCAGAGAAGGAAAAAAATCTGACTTGGCAGAGTTTTCATCAATTTCACTTGGTTGGGGAAGGAAATCGGAGAGGGAAAAAAATCTTAATTGGCGGCGATTTCAGCAGAGTTTTCCCTCTTTCATCCGAGCGAACCAAAGCAGCACAAAGAAATGAACGGAAACAAAAAAACTGACGTGGAGGGCTAAAAATCTGATGTGGAGGGGTTTTCTGAGTTTTCCACCCCTTATAATAGCGAACCAAACAACCCCTTAGAATCAAACGCACAAACGTAAATGGAGTATTAATTAAGGGTTGCAAGATAATCTCTTAAATGAGAAACAACGTATGAAAAGGAGCAAGATTCTTGAGATGGCTGTCTAGCTCTAGTCAATCCCTTGCTTACTTTGTAATCTTTAATAATGACTCGCTTGTTTAAAGCTAATCAAGATTCCATTATTGCTCAAAGGACCACTAGCGCAATGATCTCTCACTTGTTTAAGCTAATCCCTTTGATTCCCAACTTGCGCGTGACAGAAATGTCAAGGTCTAAGGCACTGATTTTAGGAATGTAGTCAATTTGTCTAACGTTCAACAAGATAGAGACCGGTCACTAAGAGGACAGGACCAAATCATCAAACAATGGCCAAAAAGATCATATGTCTCCTTGGTGCGTGTATTGTTCGAAATATGCTTTTGATTTGCAAATTGCCATTTATACTCATAATCTACATGAATAATTATGGATTTGTTCCAAGAGGCTCAATTCCATAAGATTGACTTGACGAGAGGAGACAAAGATGGTGGAGCCCATTGGTAGGATTCTTCTAAGCCTAGTGTTAGGAAGATGTTGTTGTCAAATGGTTCCACCGATTTTTTTTCCCCCTCGCTTATAAGTTCATGCATAATCATCTATATCTAGAAAGAATTGTATTATTATAAAATTTTAATTATTATTTTTATTTATGTGCGAAATAGATGATTATTAAACCGTGTGAAAATTTAACATATTAAACTAATTTGATTCATATTCTAGAAAACTTCAAACTATATCAAACTTTAACCATATACATTTAATGATATTTTGAATAACATGTATAGTACGAGACATGAATATGATGACCCAATTAGTTCATATCATGACAAAGTTTTAGTTCGAGAAAATATTTCCATGGTCAATATTACCCTTAATTTTTTTTAATATTACGTTGTTATCCTAATCTATTCTAATTATCCTATTTTCTTTGAATTAGTAATTAAATGATTTATCATATTCATAATAAGATTTAACATGTTATTGGATAAAGGAGATACATTTAATATAATTCAAATCCTTTACTTATTTCAGTTCGTAGAGAAATCTAAAAAACATGTGCTAGCCAACACCTAAAAGTTTTTGAACTTTATAAAAATATCCTCCAAGTTTTTTAAATTGTAAAAACATCCTCACAAATTCGAAATTTTATTAAAATATCTTAAAAATTATAAAATTTACTTATTTCAATTTAGTAAAAAATCTAAAAAATATATGCTAGCTAGCAACTAAATGTTTTTTAACTTTGAAGAAAATATATTGTAAGTTTTAAAAATTACAGAAACACCCCTAAAATTTTAAAATTTATAAAAAACACATTGATTATTTCAAACATATAAACACATTAAAAACCGACAAATGACACAAAAAAATCCCCAAAATTTATGGAATTTATAATA